AGAGAAAGGTGATAGGAAACTTAGGAGAAAGTATATGGATGCATTTTTGCTGTTGATTGTTTTTGTTGTTGTTTCTTGTCTGTACAACATCCTAAACAAGAAAAGACAAATTAAGTTTTTCAATTTCCACCTGCAGCCTCCTAAGTTGTTATGTCCCTTGGTTTCATCTGTTCGTGGTTCTGTTGTTAACATGTTATCAGATGTATCGGAGTGGCATGTAGTTAGCGGCTCTGCTAACTGGGTTGACATAAATATGGAGGCAGCACAACTAACTAAAAGAGTTAGGCACAGCACCAGTGGGACCAGTTAGTCTGGAGCCATATTTGTTGTTGTTGTTGTTGTTGTTGTTTTTCAGAGTGCATTAGTGCATCAATTGATCGGATTTCTTTTCTATGTTTTGGACTTTCTTGCTCTTGTCCTGGTTCCTGATTCAGCATTAAGGTTGTATTTTTTGAAGAAGTCAGAAGGGTGGCACAACGAAATCTATTATTTAAAAAAAGATATAAGATGTAGGCCGACGTACATGCACCATGTGGTTAGGGAAATACATACCCTAAACACAACATCTGCATAGTGAAACTGGTGGTGGCAGGAACATGCAATAGGACAAATGATTTTATATTCAAATACTTCAAAGTCAATAAGTACATGAAAGACTATGGATCTGAGTATGCAAATGTTTTATAACATTCACTACCAGTCATATGAAATCTAAATATAATTCAAGAAAATCTGTGCTGTATTTCCATAAAATATAAATGCATATGATTTGCATGAATGCAAGAAAATCTATATTTCTGGTATACAATTAAGGGTATTGATAAACATTTATTCATTTATCATTGCTTTTGCAGAGAAAATGTTTACCCTTCAAAATTCTAAACTTAAAAACTAATAATAATCAAAAGTCCTCCTACCTTGAACCACAATCAAACTTCCAATTGGAATTCTGCTTACAGCTTGTTTTTGAATCCTAGAAGATGTTCTACTTCCCTTAAGTATGCAGAAGTTTTGGAAGAAACCTTGGAAATTTCTAAAAGTCTATCCTCTTGACAGAGTACAGCAGTCTGCATGTGTGTGAAAAGTGTTTTATATGCTCTATTAGAGGAAGTGGGACTACAGGCTTCTGTCACTCATATCTCACTTTCAGAAGCTGAACTTCAGAGCTGCTTTCAAATCAATATCTCTAAACTGTGCAGAGTTGATACACACAGCGACTTTATCCCAATTTATGATTTACTTTCCTCTCCTTGCATTTGGGTATTCTTCACTACAGATATATATATATATATATATATATATATATATATATATATATATATATATATATATATATATATATATATATATATATATATATATATATATATATAAAAGAAATCAACAAACATATGAGCTGTGGAGAGAGACCAATAAGGTGATGTTCCTGTGGAAAGGAAACAGGTGTTTAAAAGCAGAAGAAACTTCAAGCTGAAATATTATCAAGAATTAAGCGGTAGAGCAGACCTATTCCTCTTTTTTTGTAAAACGTGACAGGTTCCAAAGTGAAATTTTGAAGATGAAATGTCCTTCTATTGTTAGCATGGATTCAAATGGAGAAGGTGATTTAACACAAGCTTTAGTTAAGTATATCCTGTTAACTTTGTTTATTAGACTGTAAAATGTGCCATTACTGCAGTCCATAAAATATATCTCTGTTTGAATCATAATGTCTTATAAATAACACAGATAATTCTGGTAAAAGGGTTTCATGCACTTATTATAAGCATGATTGTCATAGAAATATTCAGTTTTATTGAGCAGGAGTTCTGCAAACGAACCAATGTGATCTGCTGGCTAGATAGAAAATATTTTAACCTGTTAATCATTCACAAAAAGACTTGTTAAACCCTAAAATACTTAGGTTTGTCTGATATAATAGATGTGAATTTGATACAATTAATGACAGTTTTTTTGTCTCTATATGCAGTATAATATTTATATTCTAACGTTTGATTACATCTCCAAATGAGTCAAGTTAGTTGAACCAGAAATCTCTTTTGTCAGGATAAGAGTAAAATCTTTCAAACACAGTAAGTAGAAAAGAATAGGAACACAGAGGCCAGCCTATATATAGATATAGATATAATAGCCCATTTAGATTATAATAACAATCACCATCATAATCATAATTTATTTACTTCTCTTAAAGCTACAGTGTGTAACTTTTAGCGACATCTAGCGGTCAGACTGCAGACTGCAGCAACATGAACATCTCCCCCCCACCACTTCTCCCCCCCGACAGTACGGCGAGCGTTACGGGACAAAATGTCTTCCACGACGTCCGCATCACCTACCTTCTCAAGTGGTGAGGTTTGTTTACATAGATAATTTTACAGATAGTATTTCATTAGTCTGTGTAGGGTATAGATTTCATGTAGACTTAAGATAATAAATATACCCGTTATTTTTTCTACATCGTTGTGACATTTTGGCGATCTCGCAATCGCTGGTTTGTTGGCTCTGCACTGCCGTAGCGCAAAGATGTCTGCCTCCATGGCTGCGAGACCCGCTCCTATGTAATTATAAATAACGAATTCTAAGGCGACGCAAATATTAAGGTTAAGAGGCTGAGCTCGTAGATGATGATAAAATAACATAGTTATGTATATTATATTACATTTCTGACTGTATATCCCTGTAATTATTACACACTGTAGCTTTAAAGGTATAGAGGAGGATTTTCACGAATTTTTGAAAACACCCACCCTCTCCGCTTTAAAAAAAATAAAATGCACATGCGCAACCCTGTACCCGCTCCCGAGAGGGAACGTCTATTAAACACGTGTGAGAGCATGCAGGAACCCATCTCTCCTTGTGCAAGCTCAGTTTAAAAGTGGCTGTTTGCATCGCTCATACAAGCTTACTTTCCAAAAAAGTATTTACAATTATTCCACTATGTCAGATTCAGCACCTGTAAGTGAAAATGGGGAGGAGCATGAAGGCAACCTTACGTAAACATATCACTAGGATGATTGACAATTAGGAGGACCACTTATTTCAATGAAAAAAAAAGGATATTCTCCACTGCACATTTAAGGCTCAATAAAGGGGGACATATGTGGCAGAGAAGAGAGAGCAGGTCACGTGCAAAGTAGGCATGGACATCGGAAAATGACAATACCTATCAAATAGGTACCAACTTAGTGCCAACCTTTTATTTATGCCACGGGAGTATAAGAACTGACCAGAAGGGATTCTCTTTACACCAACAAAGATATGAGCCCAGCTATATCTTTGTTGGTACCTTTGTTTGTACCTTTTCTTTGCTAAACTTAGATGAAATCATATTAAAGTTCAAGACCTGTTTAAGAATTGTTTACTCTAAAATGTGTTATTACAAGAGTGATCGCTAAAGGTAAACAAACCGGGAATAAGCCCTGTGATGTTAGCACTTTCTGTTGGGATTTGGAGGTTTGTCCACTTTCTCCACCAGAGGGCGCACGAGATCTCCTGGAGCATGAGCCGATCACACCACCTGTCTCTCATCTGCTCATCAGGAGATCCGTACTTAAGGAGGCGGAGGGCTTCACTCCAGTGCCAGAGTGTTTGCCAGTAACGGTTAGCAAGCCTGAGCCAACCTGCCTGTCTGTGAACTCTGACTTTCTGTGAACCAAACCTGATCCCGTTTTTCTCCTCTCTGCCTCCCAGGTTGATCCTGCCTGAATACCTGAAACTCTGGAGAGTTTCTCTGCCGGTGATCTGTCTGCTCGTTCTCAGTAGGACTCTGGAGAGCAGCCTCAGTCAAGTACCTGCCTGCCCGCTCTCAGAAGATTACTGGAAGGAAAACTCAATCAGTGATCTGCCTGCACTCTGTAAGCTCTGCCTCCACCTCTGCCCTCAGCCTGCCGACAACCTCTGGACCCTCAAGGTTACCCCCCTCTGCAGCTCTGCTCCATTTCCGAACAGGTACAGACCTGAACACTCACAACCAGCAAAAGACCTGGACCTCCACTAATCTCTCTGTCCTCCGAACAGCAGTGAACCCACTCGTGACCAGTCAAGCCCCCTCTTAGATCTGAACATACTTTGTACATTTATTATTAATAAATCTTTGAACTTTTTCATCTGCTTCCGAGTGTTCTGCATGTGGGTTAGACACATTAATCCGAACATGACACTTTATAGGGGGTACAAGCCTACATTATAAACCAATCTGTCTGTCTGTATGATCAAAGGATTTAACAGACTCTGCAAGGTCCTGACATGTTGTTTTTAGGTGCTGTATAAATACACTGAATTATCTTAATTAAAAGGAAAGTCTCACTCTCAGAATCTGTTTGCAATAAAACGAAACTTGGAAGACATCGACCATGTTTAGTAAAGTATTTGTCTTAACAGAACTGAATCTTTCACAAATATCAGTTACGTGCTTAAAGGGACAGGCGGTGGGTTTTTCCCAACATAAAAGCCCCTTCTCCACATGTCTCACAGGAGTTAGACATCTTGCTTACTTCCTCTGCTTAAGACAGGGGAGCTCAAAAACACCAGTAGCTAATCAACAGAAGAGGAAAATACTGTATTATTAATAAATAGAGGAAACAGTAGACTTAAATGACTCTGAGTGAACTGAAATCCTATGCAAATGATTATTTACCAAATAAATCTCTCTATCAATAAAGCTTTTTGTTTTTAAAATTAAGTTCCAAAATGTAAAAAAATAGATTACAACTTATATATCCGTTAAATAATGGATAAACTTCAATTATCCTTAGTTTGATCTATGATAAATGTTTATGAATTAATGGTTTTATAAGTGGGGCAACTAAAAGTCTGGACTCTGTTGTTTAGTTTATGCGTCACTCTGCTGCTGGTAATAATACCTGCCAGGGTTGCAACCACTCAGTGTAATGATAACACCAAGTGTAGAGTTACCAGACCAATTCTACAGCAATGTTGCCGAGCAACACTAAAGACATGCTGAGATCAGGTTTGAAGCTTGTTTTCAGATCTGCTTTTATTTGGTAACATCAGCACCGAGGACAGAGACTGGCCCCAGTAAACAGCTCAGACAGGGTTAGCTTAAGTTTCTCTTGCTCGTTTCCTTGGAGTAGTCTGAATGTCTGGAAATAAGGTGAGATTCTGTAAGGATGTCTGAATCCTTTTAGAGGAATGTTCAAGAAGCTCAACAATGTGTTCCATCCCAACCATCATGGAAATAAAGCCGGGCGTAACGGCGGGATTCAGGAGGACTACCACAATGCCTGCACGGTCCGACTGGTCCGCAGCACCTCCATGCTGGTGGTGGGGGAAAAAAGTCGCTCTTCCGAGGGGTCCACTCTGACACGGAGTAAGAGCAGCGTGAGCATTGAGTCAACTCTGTACTATTACCAGAGACAAGAAGACAGGATATGGCTGTACTCACAGAACCAGAACTGTCTGGAGTACCTGGAGGCTTTGGTGGCTCTGAGAAGACAGTACACTAAGAGTGTAAGTGACTTTAAGAGCAACGATGCCAAGGCCACAGAGTCTCCAAAGAAGGAACCCACACACCTTCCACCAAAGATGGAGGAACCGGTAATATGTGTTTAAAAGTAACTGTTTCTTCTAACCTGAGTTAAAATTGTGCAGAGCATCAGTGCGAATTAGTTTTCAGGTCTTGCCACTGATTGTTGAATTGATTCCTGTTCGACCATGGCCGGGCCATTCCAGCATAGTATTTTGATCTAAAGCCTATATATATATATATATATATATATATATATTACAGCTCTGGTTGTAGGTTTTAGGTTTATAGACCTGCTGATCCAAAATGCTGCAGCCAGGGTTCTGATGAAAATTAAAAAGAGAGATCATATCTCTTCTTTCTTAGCTTGTCTTCATTGGCTTCCTGTTAAATCCAGAATAGAATTTAAAATCCTCCTTCTCAAATATAAAGCCTTAAATGGCCAAGCTTCATTTTATATCAGATATATGATTGTTCCTTATGCTCCTTATGTCTGGTTCCTAGAATGTCTAAAGGTAGAATGTTAGGCAGATCTTTTAGTTATCAGGTTCCTCTCATGTGGAACCAACTACCACTTTTGGTCCACGTGGCAGACACCCTTTCTAATTTTAAGGGTAGGCTTATAGCCAGAGAGGCTCAGGTTAACCTGTGCTATCTCTATAGTAATGCTGCTATAGGCTTAGACAGCTGGAGGACATAGGGATCCCTTTTTCATCTTTCTATCTCAATTTAATTCTATCTCCATTCTCCCACTCTACAGAAGTTGTTTATAGATGTTCGAGATCGGACCGTTTTTCAGTGCAGTCCTGTTTCTCTGACTGACTGGCTAGATGTGCTCTCCTCATCCTCTGACATGGGAGCTGGCTCGGAGCTCGTCTGCCTGGCTTTGTGTTTCCTGAACAGGGCTGCCCATGGAGTTGATTTACAGTTTCCTTTTGTATCTCTGCTTCTTTTTGTATGTCTGCTTCTGTCTCCTTGCACCCCAGTCAGCCTCGGCAGATGGCCGCTCACACTGAGTCTGGTTCTGCTGGAGGTTAAAAGGGATTTTTTCCTCTCCACTCTCACTACAAAGCATGCTTAGTGTGAGGGATTGCCTTCGAGTCAATGAGTCGATGCAATCAACTAGTTTTCCTTAGACAGAAAACTTTTAAACAATTTGACTGTATGATGTGGTTAAATTGTAAAGTGCCTTGAGATGACATGTGTTGTGAATTGGTGAATTGGGAAATTTATAAATAAAATTAGTTGTTCCTCTACCAAAAGCCAAAGTCCTTCTCAAACTAGTAGGTTTTTTCCACAAATATCCTCTGTTTAGTTTAGTCCTTGTTATTTGCTCTCTAAGATGCACTCTCCTTGACTGACCTGTCAGTTTGGTTGGACAGCCATGTCTTGGTAGGTTTGCAGGTGTGGAATATGCTTTCCATTTATAGTTTATTGACTAGAAATACCTTTTTGAGACATTCAAAGCTTGCAATATTCTCTTACAACTTGACCATGCATTTAACTTCTACCTCTAACCTACAACTTTGCTGGTGTGTTACTTGTTCTTCATGGTGTTTGTTCGTCACTGATCATCTTATAGGAGTAGCTAAGATTGAATAAAACACAGGTGGATCCAGTTTACTAATTGGTGGCTTCACAGATGATTTTACAAGGTTTTTATTTGAGGACATTTTAGTAAAGGTAGGTGAAAACTCCTTTGTTTGTGAACATCTATTTATGTATTTTATCGTTTACCCTTACACTTCAACATCATGCACTATTTTGTTTTGGTCTATGCTTAGAGATGCACCGATCCAACACCTGGATCGGATATTGGCTACGATGTTGACTAATTACCTGGACTGGAGATCAGTGATTTTATGCCAGAGATGAAATCTGGTGCACTTTACAAGGAACTGTTATTTCTTTCTTTTTGATTCGTTTCGGTGTCAGATATCAGCTGATACAATTATCCCAGGTATTGTATCGGATTGGAATCGGAAAAAAAATGTATTGGTAGTTCTCTAACTATGACATAAAATCTCTTTAAAATTCATCGACATTGGTGTTTTTTACTTGATATGGTGGAAAGTTAAAGCGTTACGAAAACTTGTGTATCGAAGGAAAGAGTGAAAAGCATTTTTTTCTTCCACGGTCAATCACAGATATCAAGAGTCAAACCATCTGCACCTTTAGTCCCAACAGAAGAGGACACTCTACAGTTCTTTGACAAGGTTATTGCCAACTGTGACAGCGAACCTCTGCGTAAACCCTACAGGGACAATGGCCATGCAGATGTAGACTTCATAGGTGAGTAGGAAAAATTATCATTCCATAGATTTTAAATGTAAGTATTAATATAGACTAAAAGTTTGGGGCTGCACAGTGTGCACAGCAGTGCTGCCTTGCAGCAAGGGCTCTGGGTTCAATTCATGTCCCAGGGTCTTTCTGCATGGAGTTTGCATGTTCTCCCTGTGCATGTGTTGTTTTCTCCAGGCACTCCCGACTTCCTCCCACACTTCAAAAATATGACTGTTAGGTTAACTGGCCTCTCTAAATTCTCCTTAGGTGTGAGTGAGTGGGTGAATGGTTATTTGTCCTGTTTGTCTCTGTGTTGCCCTGAAATAGATTGCCTTCCTGTCCAGGGTGGACCACCTCTCGCCCATAGACAGCTGGAGAGTGCACTAGCACCCCTCAAGACCTCAGCAGGGATAAGCAGGATGGATGGATGGATGGATGGAATAAGTTTAAGAAATCAAGTCAAATTGTCTGTCCTTGATGTCAGGGATTTTAAACTTATAGACCAAACAGATGATATTTTAAAGCCAAATTTAGGTTGACCCACTGTACTTAAAATACAATGGGTCAACTATCCATAGAAACGGATAGACTGTATCTTTCAAAAATGCAATCTTTACTTAAACTACAACTGATTATATTCATGCTATTTCTTAGATCAAGAACATTCAAGAAATAAAACATTAAAAATAATTTTTTGCAACTGAAAACAGATGAAAGCATAATATGTTAATTCTTACATTTGTTGCATTGTATATGCTTACATTTCTAACACAGTGTTGCTCTTGTAATTTCCCTTTATAATTACATAAAGGAATTTCTAAAATGGAAGTTTACTTTGGGTATTCCTGTAGGCACAGCTTTTAGCAGAACAATATATGCAAAGGGTAATCCCACCATTTTTAGGAAGTGTTTTGACTTGGCCCCACTAAGTAAACTAGCATTTCTACTTTTTCAGCTGCAGGGTCTTTATTGAGCTGCACTAATTATACATTTTGGTTCTAAAAATGCACTAGAAGATAAAACAGACTATTTTTTCTCAGTCAAAATACGGATTTCAAAAGCAACTTTGCCATAATTATAACCACTCCACCTTGAACAGTTAGTATTTAAGCCTTAAATCTGATTTTATTTCAAATTCATTATTCTGCAAAGGTTTACATATCAGTAATTATCAGCAGTGCATCATATATTTTCTCATGTGAAGCTTAAGCCCTTTAAAATGCCTTGAGGTGAAATAATTAAACACTGGTAAATTCTTTTTTCAAGAAAACTGAAGGTGTTCTTCATAATCCTGAGAAATAAAAAGAATACATCAAGGTCAGGTACCATAACTCAGAAATCTGATGTGGATCTAGCTGTTCTTTGCGTGATAATGAGACCTGCGTGCATAATTTGTAGGATACAAACACGGTTCCAGCTCTGTGAGGCAGGCTAATTGCCAGCCATGCGACCTTGCCTGGTTGAAGCTTTTGTTGTTGAAACAACACTGAAGGATTTCATTATGAATACCTGAAGAATCTGGTTATGCACAATAATTCATATTCAGCTATATCACTGTTTGTTGATTTTGGTTCTAGGTTATTTACGAGTTGGGTCAAAGTCACTGTTGCTGGTCCGATGTCTGTTTTTTAAATGGATTTTCTGAAATTCTGGCATATACTGTAGTTCAGAGCATTTGAAATAAATATATTTTTTTTAAACTTCTGCATACTTAAATTGTTTAAAAACCTATATCTTAATAATAAACTGAAAGAAAACTGTATTTTAATTTTTTAACTTTAATAAATTTAATAAAGAACTTCCACATTTAGAAAGTGCCACCAGTAATTTTATTTAACAAACTCTCTAACTGTATAATAATTCAGAGCATTAATCACGACTTTTAAACAAACATTCTAATTGATATAATTGTTTTTTTTTTTTTTATGCTGAACATTTTTATTCTAATTATTTTTCCCACAGGTATAAATGCCACACAATAAAGAGGGTTTTTTTCCTTTTTCAAACCTCCAAACTAGATGAAGTTAAATAGTCTTTTTGTTACTAAACAGAGTGAAGATGGCAAGAAGTTTTAAACTGTACTGATAGAGAACTCCTGAAAAGAGTGACATGCTAAAGTTACTCTTTACTCTTCCCTACCAGCACAAATGTTAACATACCGTTTTTTTCTAGACTCTATAGGAACTGCAGTTGGAATTGTTTGATTTGGTGTCATGAGACTAAATCAGATTAAGAGTTATGGCAACAAAAACACCAGGTAGGCTTGGTGTGAAAAAAGGATAAATATTTGGGAAAGCACCGCATGTGAACTATTACATTTAATGTAGGATTTCTGATGGATGAAATATTAATTGCTCTATCAAAGGCACAGGGAACCTTTTTAGCCGAATTATTTAAAATACAAGATTATTTTAAATAAACATCTAAGGAATAAAAAAAAAAAAAAAAGAAAAATCAGCAAACAACAGATTCACTTGTCTATGGCATACTGACACATACCACAGGGAATACTGAGAAACACAGAAGATCAACAGAGGTTTTGTAAATAGGAATGGTTCAGCATCCATTGCTCTGTTAGCTCCAACCTTGTCAAATGTTTATAATGTTGTCTCATTGGCAAATTAAAAGTCTTGAAACAAGGGATAGCTACATTTGTATATGTTTATTTGGGAGAACAATAATCCCCTAAAAAATCAAATCAGAACTCAAATTACAGTAGGTTACATTTTTCAAAAATGTTACATAAAAGATTATGTTGTTGCACCAGTTCTCATGGATCCAGTGGATCTGATGGATCCAGTCTGTTGAGGAGGTTCCTCAGAATCCAAACCTGCCATTAAAGAGCTAAAGTTTATTAATGTAGGAGCCATTTACCTTTTTTTCTGTATTTATCTCCTCAGTGGATGTATATCATTTTGTGCTTTGAGGATGTCGGCAGGGGGGTGGGGTTATTTAAGGTCAAAATTCATTCTGTTCAGGCGTTGCTAAATGAGAAGAGGCAAACAGTTTTCTATTTTCTAATCTGTTTCTATTTAGTTAGAAGTTATGTTGGTTTATTTTCTTCTAATTGGAAATGGAAAGACAATGGAGATAGGAAAACAAATGGCTTTAAGCATAACTTTAAAAGAAGACATGTAAGAAACCATCCATCCATTTTCTTACATGCAAGCGGGGTTGCAAGGGGTGCTGGTGCCAACACCAGCTATCCACAGGTGAGAGGTGGGGTACAACCTGGACAGGTTGCCAGTCCTTGCAGGGCAACACAGAGACAAATAACCATTCACATATACACTCACACCTAAGGAGGAACTAGAGAAGTCAACCTACTGTAATCGTTATATTTTTGGACTGTGGGAGGAAGCCGGAGTACCCGGAGAGAACCCACGCATGCTAAGGGAGAACATGCACACTCCCTGGGCTGGGAATTGAACCTGCAACCTTCACACTGCATAGCAGCAGTGCTACCCACTGCTCCACTGAGCAGCCCAGAGAAAGGAACCAGTAGCCTAAAATATAAGATATTAGCAGTTAGATTTACTAATGCTAATAAATGTAGTGAGAACTGTATGTTGTTAACTTATAATTTAACAACTTTATTGGCCTCTAATTAAAGTTGTGCCCTATGGTTTCAAAAGTGTAAACTATGAAATTGTGTCAGTCTCATCTCATGCTTTCCATCTCTGTTGTCCTGCCTTAGTGGCCTCCAGCTCAGCTGAGCATGACCTGCACTCCAACTGGGTGCTGAGGGTTCCCCGGGTCTCAGACGACTCTGAAGAGAGAGCGGTTCTTAAATGTGCCAACGAAAGCACCTCAAAGACAAAGAAGAAGAAAAAGCAGCAGACTGGTTCCACAAGCAGCAGACTACAACTTCAGAGGAACCCGATCCACCTCCCCAAAGTGGTGGAGAGTGCATTCCAGACCCTGCGCTTCAAGCCCAAATTAAAAAAGCATTGAGGCTTGAATGGACATTTGAAACCTTTAGCACTGCCATGACGCCGACAGAGCTCAGCCTAAAATGTTTCCACAGGCAGTGTTCTCTGAAGTTGGTCTTGCGGGGTGTACAGTGCCTCACAAGTTTTCTTTGAACTTTTTGACATTTTGTCACACTGCAACCACAAAATTCTACATATTTCATTTAGATTCTATAAATTAGATCAACATAAAGATTTTTACGAAAAAATAAAATATCAAAAGCCAATATTTTACCTTCCTTTGCCATCACATCACATCCAAAGAAAACAACCTCCATCAGAGGAAACATAAGAAAAACTTCTGACCTGTGTATAAATAAATATAGAACAAATCCAACTGTTCTATAAAAGCCTCTTTGGCTTTTTAGACATTAAAGAACACCATCATGAAGACTGAGGAACACAGCATACAGGTCATGGATGGAGAATAGTTTAAAGCAGGGTTACGGTACTAAACAATATCCAAATCTTCGAGCATGGAAACTAAAAATACCGAGACATGACTGTCCACCTAAACAGCCAGGCTGGGCCAAAAGAGCGAATAAACAGCGAAGGACATTGTAGCTCTGGAGGGGCTTTAGATTAACAGCTAATACCCAATAAACTGTTAAAGATAACTAACAATCTTGCACACTCCACAAATCTGGTCTTTATGAAAAAGCTGCAAGAAGTAAGAAAATGTCTATGTTCAGTTTTCTAAAAGCAATTTATGAGGCATATTAATCCTGTGGAAGAGGGTGTTCTTCTCAAATTAGATCAAAACTAAAATCCAAACTATACATGCACTGTAAAAATAAAATGTTGGTAGAAGCATAGTGGTGGAGAGGTGCATTTATTCCACAGAGAAGGAATGAGAAGTCAGAGCAAATGGTGAGGTAATGAAAGTAAATAGATGGAAATACTGAGAAAAAACAAAACAAATTTAAGCTCCACGAAAAAATTAAGGATGTGTCGGTGAAGATTCTCAGTCATCCAGGTCATAGTCAATCCAAAAAAAAGTTAAAAAATAATCCACTGGAGTTTGTTTCCAAGTTTGAAGACGTTTCACTTTCCATCCAGGAAGTTTTTTCAATCCAAAATGTAAGAAATAGCATTGAATTCGAGGTTTTATAGAGTGGACCAAACACAAAGCCTTGTTTTAGCTTCAAAAACGTTCAAATTTTTCGTCCAGGATGTGGTTTAGGTTCCCCTTCAGGTCGGACAGTAAGCTTAAGGGGCGGCAGTTGAATGTTCTTAAAATACATTTTGAAAACTGATGCGTGCAAATGTTCTTTATCAGATATGAAGGCGCCTCAGTCAAAAGTGGGCAAAAATTACTTTAAATGTCCTTATGTGCAAAGTTCCCTGAGACATCTCCCAAAAGATTAGAATTTGGATAAAAAAGTGTTTCTGCAAAGAATTTACCCAGTGTGATTCAAACAAATGCAAAACCAACTTTGCACATTTGTATCTGATCCTTTAGCAAAAATCTAGATTAAATAAATTTAGGTTTGTGGTTCTAATGCAATAAATTAAAAGAAAAAGCACTCCAGGGGTTGAATACTTATGTAAGGTGCTGTCAGATAAGAACAATTACTATATTTATTAAAGACCATTTAAAGTTGCCGAATTAACAGATTAATTGGACACCATGCTTAACATAACCTGATAATGAAGACATTTCTTATATATATTCCTACATGAATGCTTTTACAACAGTTTATCTATCTTCTTGCTGTAATATTAAATGTATTGTACAGCGTTAAAATGAATTGTATAGTTGTGCAATGGTCTAATGTTTAATCCCTAAAAGTTCATTTACTTCTCCAGATCCCTTTATTCAATTGGTTAAGAAAATGTCTTTCAAAACGCCTTTTGAACTGATCTAAGCAAAATAAAAAGGTTCAAATCTGGATGTGGAATTTTGGCTGAATACACTGTAAAGTCCAGACCTGAGAGGTTGGTTGTTTCTTTTCCACTTCTTTGAGGCTTCAAAGGCAATATTTGAAAAGCAACAATGTCTCCTTTCAAGCTGAAAGTCAGAGACTGCTACATTAATTAATGTTTCGTTTCAGAGGTGGATTCGGCGAGGCCGAGTTCAAGGCCCCCTGGCTGTGAGAAAAGCTTCAAACCAGCCCAGCGTCAGCGAAATAATCCATGCTAAAAGTAAACTGGCCTTGTGCAAGGAAGGTGAAAAGCTTAAACGGTATCCAGTTATTGACTTTGCTGTTTTTGTTTTTTTATTACTTCCTCTATGCCTGTTGTTGAGATTTATGATAAAAACAAAGAAGTTTTTCAAAAGCTAAACTTATCTAGAGCTCTCAGTCTTTTTCCATCATATCTACTAGATATAAAGAGCTGTGAAAGAGTTTCCTTCTTATTAAACGATGATTTAAGTGTGATTAACTAGGCTTTCGTGGGATGACTGAATATGATTTCCCTACTCAGGACTAATAAGTGCAAACCTTCAGAATTTAAATAATAAAATAGAACCTGCCTGACAGGATGAAGTAGGCTTAAACATCTTAAAATGAAACAGACTCATGAAACTTTAGTAAGATATATGAATTGAAAGTTTTAGAGAGCCTCCTGTTACAGATAATTAAACTAATGCAACTTTACAGAGAAGACTCCATCAATGGTTAGATGTTGGTAGTATTATGATAATCTGGGGCAGCTTTGTTGCTTCAGGATATGGATGATTTCAGTAATAAACCAAACCATGCATTTGCTTAACCCCTGCTGTAGATAGCTGTAAAAATGATTCAAACCACAGCATTAAGTAAAACTCAATGGTGACAAAAACCTTTACAAGTCTAGAGCCAGAAAAACGATCTAAAAATGCCTTTTCTTGTGATCCCACACATCCTATTTAGAGGCTCTTCAAGCTTTTACTTTCGGTGCTACAGAATGTTACACTAACAGACAAACAAGCTGTTTTATTCTGTTGAACTTAACACCCTCATCACCCTCAGCTGTAAACATATATAAATCAAATTAAAGCCTTCTCATTATTATAAGCTGCCATCATCATTTACAAAAAAATGCACTTGTAAATACTGTTTTATGCCCTTTATGAGTGATTTTGTATAGTGTATTGTAATGATGAGTGGTGGAAAGCTGTTGGTAAACCTGACCGTTAAACTTTGTTCTGATTAATAAATGCAATCATTAAAAAACCTGTTTCAAATGTACTCAAGTTTATCTTTTATCTTTGATATAAGTTAGCCTATTCAAGAATGGATAGGCTTAAAAAAGGGGGGGGGGGATCTCTTTTTGTGACATAATAGTGAGGGGGAAAAAAGCTAATTTCCTTTATGATGCTTATAAAGACCTGGAAAAATATCCCAATACCATCTTTTTTAAGAATTTGGAAACCAAAATAAAGAAAAAATATCCTACTGAAGTCATTAAAAGGCTAAACTAAGAGAAATCTAACAGCAATAAGAGGTTTATTTATTTATTTTATCTATTACCAGAAAAAGAAATCTTACCCTTGTAATCTGTTGCCATTCACACAATTAAAAAGAAAAAAAAAAACTGGTTGGATACATTTCTTTCTCTTTATTACAAAACGTGAGTCTGATCAAACCAAAAGCACAAGATATTCACTTTTTTTCAGCTTTGGTCTTCGGGCTAAAGAAAGTAGACATCGGCTTCATGCCAGTCTTGTCCACTTTAGCCAAAGTTTTCTGAGCGGTTGTCATCTTCTTAGGTGGCTGAAATAAAGCAAGAAAACAAACAAAGAGGGAAAAATAGCAAAAAAAATCAATTACTTTTGCCTTGAACCAATAGGGAAATCTGAATCATTTTGACAATTATAATAAACTAAACTGTTGTAACAACGGTAGTTCTACACACAAAGCTTAAAGATAGCAGAGAAGCAAATTTACACGACTGGAGGTTCTGAAAGAGTAGAAGTATGATACAGAAATATAGAGAAGGCTGCTCTATTCACATAAATTACATAAATGATGTTTGAAGCTCCGCGTTCCACTGAGGAGGTTCTCTAATCTGTGTGCACTCACTTTCCGTGCAAAGTCTGCACTGTTGAATTTGGTGTAGTCTTCTCCAGCCTCCACTGGCTTGTCTGAAAGTTTCCGCTTCTGCCAAACGAGGAAGTAACAAATGCTTTTCATGATAAGGAGCATTAAACAGAGACCCCATCCCTGCCGGCATCACCCTACAGTCCCCAAAACGGGACCCTAAATCACACCAGTGGTGATTGAGGTTACTTCCTCTATTATGCGTGAAAAAACAAAGTGAATTGGAAGATTCCAAGAAAGTGCATGGAGGCTTTAGCGGCATGCAAGAAAAAAAAGCTGAGAAAATCAATGAGACCACAAACCTTTGAGGGAGGTTCTGTTTCTTTTGGACTTTTCAGCTCTGTTAATCTGTGGCGTTCAGAAAGAGGAGAGTTTTACCTGCAAAGTCACCAAAACAAGTGCAACTAATGTGTTATATATTTTGAATATCTTACCCCAAGTGTTTAAGGAGGACTTTGCTTAGTTCTTCACTGATGTACTCCGATATCAGACCATGAGAATAGCGAAGATAGTCCTCTGCATCAATAAATCAAGAAAATTCACAACCCATCAAACTGTTATTCTTTTTGACAGTCAGAAGAGTAAAGTTAAATAGCTGAGAAATGATCACACAAAATGATACAACACTACTGCCATCTACTGGCTGATATCAACAACTGCAGCAAGAGTAAAATATAGTTTTAAAGGATTTTTTCTTCATGAGTTGGACAGAATTTGCATTTAATTGATGCTGTATTGCAAAAAAAAAACCTTTTCACATTTGTCTCTACAATCATAAACCTGTTTTATACAACGCAGTGTTAAACAGAGAATTGGAAGGATCCAGGATAAAAGTAGTTTTTAAGTTGTTTTTATTATTTATTAAATATATTTTGTATTTATACTCTCAAGAGAAAACTGTAGGACCACCTTTTCCTGTGTTTACATTTGTTAGATAAGCAGCCAAAAGGGCCCCTGGTCACTCTAGAGGAGACTCACAAATCTACAGCTCAGGTGGAGGAATCTGACAGGACACCTGATAGATTTGATAGTGTGGGTATGATTAAAGGCCAATTTATACTTCTGACGCATAGCCTCTGCAACCTTCAAATCCGTCTCTGTGCGCAACCACACACCCCTGCACAGAGGCTCTGCAACCGTTGTCGTGCACCTCAAAAAAACCCTGACTACACGTCAGATGGTCGCAGACCTTAAGCGGAAGTGCGCAGACAAAAAGCAGCTGTGATTGGTCCTTGGTATGCCTTTCCGGCTGTCTGTGTGGTCTTCCTTCTCGATTCGGTGCCGGGGCGCGCCATTTTTAAAAACCGAGGAACAACTACAATGGACAACTATGACGAAAGGTTAATCGAAGAGGTTCGCTCCATTAACAGAACCTATTCCTCTTCGATATCTAGCAACTCTAGATCCATCTCCGTGACCCTGATATCTTGCAGACGCGCCATTGTTGTTTTGGAATATTAACACTCCCGCCGGCGCTGACGAAGTTCTTGTGACCATCCGCTGAAGTTCTCGCAAGTTCTCGAATAGGCTCCCCTTGAGCTTTGACAGGAAACTGTGCGTCACTATAAATTCCAGACCGACGGTGCAGAAGCATACCAGCAAAACTGGTTCACGACCAGACCCAAGCAACATTTGATGTGTGCTGTTGCAGAAGTCTAATCTGCCCTTTATCCTTCAGCAGGGACAGGGTAGCTGGTAAGAGTTGATGGGAAAATGGATGGAGCTAAAAAGGGGACAATCCTGGAAGCAAACATGTTAGAGA